CTCAATGGATTTCTCGATTATTTTTATGGTAGATCAATGAAAAAAAAAAAGTCTAATTTATCTTTTTCATTGATAAAAGCAATCAATTATCACAAATAAAAGATGTTCAATCATGGGATCTATTACTATTTTTTTTTCTACTCATCAATCTAAAAATAAAATAATACAAATTATATGTAATATTCTTTTCAATTTGTTGAATTATTTGACACGTTTTTAGACAACATGTAATCATTGTTGCATATAGAGAATCAATCGTTTTAACTCGATTTGAATTGCAAGAGACATATTTATTTTATCAGAAGAAAATATCAATTTGTCAACTGACTAAGCAATTTCTAAGTATGTAATGTATATTTTGAAATATGATATTAGATGATAAACATAAGATAAAAAGAACTGGATCAAAGTCCATCTTTGAATAACAACTGGAAAGATTATAATTTTCTAGATCAACAACAAGAAAAAAATATTAGACGATCGATGTCAATCAAAACCTTATTATCCGATAGAAATTTTTTTTTCAATACTAATCAATTCAATTACATCAACGAGAAAAAAAACCAGTTTTATGTTGAAATAATTTTAGTCCCGAGTAAGAAACATTAGAAACGATAACAAATGATCGAATGTTTTTGTTTTTTGTGAATATAGGGTTGAAAACGTTTGTAGGACTTCTCGTCAAGGAGTAATAAGTCGAGTTTTTAAAGGTTCGTAAATTAAGTTTGGACGAAGAAAATTGACGTCCTTTGTATCTGTAGCCTACTCTACTGTATACATTATATTATTGATTTTGCCGCATTGAATTAAAGACAAAATTGTTCTCTACAAAGTGATATAAGAATCAAATGTTTCAAAACAATCATTCACGAATGATCGAGCTCATTTTGCATGTCTGTTGTGCACAGAAACCGAGAAACTTGCCTACTGCCTATTTCAAAATAAAAGGCGGGTGGGTATTTTTTGAATAACTTTTGATAGGAACAAGATAGAGAGACCTGCGGTTTTCACCGTTGAAAAGAGCAGATGAAAACGCATCGAACCATATAAGTCAATGACTTTTAACTTGGACTTTTGAAACCTTTTGCAATAGTTGAATAAAGAAATGCCTTAAAAACAGGTCTGATTTTTCCAGGAAAAAAACGAAGAAAACTCAAAAAATGAGTTTTTTTACAGAAATTGTTGGCAAAGTGGACTAGAATTGTCAAATATAATATCTAGAACTCTCAAAGCAGTAAAGCTTTGAATCAAGCCTTATATATAGTTTTGTATCTCGTCAGCTGCCGATTCTAATCCACTCCTCAAACTTTAAAATTTGTTCTATCTTCATAGAGCAATGGTCTAGTCTTTCAAGATGACCATAGATCACTATTTGTTTATGAAATAAATCTCAACAATTTTATATGAATCGATGCACTGGACAGGTCTCTTTCCAATGGTGAAAACCGCAGCTCTCTACCTTGTTCCTATCAAAAGTTATTCAAAAAATACCCACCCGCCTTTTATTTTGAAATGGGCAGTAGTTCCTTATCAAAATACTTGCTATTAACAAATGACTTGGAGCTAACGAATCATTAATATACAATTTTATTGAGAAATGTTGACTCATTCATTCACTGTATTTGAAATAAGTTTTGCTTCAACTTAAAATTATTTTTAACAGACTAAAATCCGTTCAATCTTAATTTACGAGCCTCTAAAACATCGAATTATAACTTTTTAAAATGGCAACAAAAAATAAATGAATGAATACTTAAGTGCATTTCATTTTTCATTTAGTTATCTATGCCTTCACAGATTTTTGAATAGAAGATTACAAAAATCTAATTTTTATTTCCGTGAATTCGTCATTTACTTGAAATTTCAAGAGACTCAGAAAATCAAATATATCAATAGAAATCCTTATTTCTTCAGAACTTCTCTATTTTCTCTCAGATGCTTTTTCTGAACTCTCTGAGAACATCGTATTTCGATCGAGTGCGAAAAACAGAATAGAAAATTGTTATTTGTATGAATTTGCAGTTAAGGAAGTTAAAAAAAGTAGTCTGTTGGACATAGATTGCTCCAAGATGTATCTGAGCAAGTATTTAGAGGTACTTTTGTAAATCTTTCATGTTTTGTGTCTGAAAAGATTAGATCAAGTATCTTATCGTGTTAGAAACACTGAATGTCGAACTATAAAAGTATTTTATTTCGTTCTTTTTTTTGAATTTTGTTTTTCACTTGAGATTATTGAATTTTTATCTCATTTAGTATAAAAATCAAGGAAAGGAGATAAAACAAAAATACGCTTGTATTCAGCAGTTCTGATTGTCATGGCTCAACTATAAAGTAAAATAGGTATGTTATTGAGAATCAGTACTTAAAGTTAGATCAATTCATATTTATTTTACAAGGAACTGTTTTCTTTGGAAAAATATGTTTATCATCTCTAACAATTGCATTTTTCTAAGATTTTCTTCTCATCTCCTATGAGCACATTGTCTAAGAAAAAAAAAAAATCTTAAAATATATGTCACCTGATACAATTTTTTATGTTGATTCCCAATTCTGATGTTATGCCAAATGAGAAAAACTCTGTTGTCTCAAACGCAAAGGAAAATTAAAACAAAAAAACAAAATAAATACTTTTATAGTTCAATATCCAGTGATTCTAACCAGACAATACGCTTGGGATAATATTTCTAGACACAAAACATCAAAGGTTTACAAAAGTATCTCTAAATACTTGCTCAGATACATCTGGAAACTATCTATACTCAATATACTATTTTAAATTTCCATAAATGCAAATTCATTCAAATAATAATTTTCTACTCTATTTTCCGCATTCCATCGAAATACATGCTTCCAGAGAGTTTAGAAAGAGTATCTGAGAGTAAATAGAACAGTTTTGAAAAAAATAATAATTTCTACTGTTATATCTGATTTTGTTAGTCTCTTGAAATTTCAAATAAACGATTATTTTCTTGAAATAAAAATTAGATATTTATGATTGGTTATTCAAAAATCTATGAAACTAGAGATAAATAAAAAAAATGAAATTTACTCGATTTTTACATTATCAACAACTTATCGCTTTTGATTTCGTACATTTTTCATATGTGAAAATACAAATTTCTTTGATTAAACGATTCATATTCGATGAGATATAAACATATTTCTCACATTTTTCGTCTGAGTATTTGAAGATCTTTAAAGAAACTAGAACGATAGTGACTTATTCGTTACGCGTGATATGTCATTATTACTTTCCATAGGCTTTATTCAAGTCTTTTAAGAAATTATATTAGTTGACTTGAACATGCCTTTGTTTATATTTGATAAATTGATTTGTTCAAATAATTTAAGTTTTTACATTCATAAATGTCTTCCATATCCATTGCAATCAATAATTGCTTGTTTAATTTCTATGTTGTACTGTACTTGTCTTTATCATGACATGAGATAGAAACAATTAATGTTGTTGGATGTTAATTCGAAGGAACGGAAAATAATTGTAGAAATTACCTGCGATGTCAAAACTATCAGAAACATAATCAACTGAAAAATAGTGTTAAAAATTTTCAAATCGAAGATCATTTTTATCCTTATTATAAGTTTGTTATTAATAATTGCTTAAGCTTTTAAATCAGAACTGTTTAGTAGTTCAGAAAAGTTCTTGTGACCTATGACATTGTAAAATTCTAGAACTATGTTTCCCTTCATATTACAGACTTATTGAAGTTTATGGTCTATGTTTTATGGTTTTCTCAATAAATATCAATCATTAGAATTCATTGCAAGTATGTCATGTATCTAGTCTACGTCAACAATCATTTCATTCAAATATTTTAATTAAAAAACGTGTGAATAAATAAAAAAGTTCTCATCAACACAACAACACTTATAATTTAATTATGGAACGGGAAAACGTATTGATTTCTTCTCCCTTGAGCAGTCATGAAATATGGAGTGAATGAACTCTGCATGTCAGTTGGAGAATTTTATGCATTTCTTTTTTCTTTTTTCTGATGTTCTTACATCGTTAGTCAGAGATAGGGAACGATAGGGAAAAAAAAAGACTGAATTAGAACCTTGGCATGAGCGAACGCTGATTTTTTTCTCCCTTTGTTTGATCAGGCAGAAGAAAAAAACGACTATTCCATTTCTATAAAGAGTAACGACAGCTCGTGACATAGTCTATTCATCTTCATTAATCCCTAACGGCATCGATACATATTTTACAATGTCTGAAAAATCATCAGTATCGTCAGGTTTACAAAAAGCCTTTAATAAATATTCTAAATTTGGTAAAACTCATGCACAATTAACTGATCATCATGGACTTCGAATTGGTTCAGCTGGTATTCAAAAAATGATGAAAGATTGTTCATTAATTGATACAAAATATACATCACAATTATTGGATAATGATATTGCACGTGTTCTTGGAAAATTAACAATAAGTTCCAATGAAACGAAATCAATTCATTATCCAAAAGGAACGTAAGCAAAAATCAAAAATATATTTTCGATCTTTTTTGTTTTTTTTTTCTTCTTTTAAGAAAAACATTTGAAATTAAAGGTTTTAAAGCATTAATTGATCGTATTGCTGAATCCAAAGGTGTTAGTCATGATGAAATTTTAGCTAAAATTAATGCAAATGAAGGTCCTAGTCTAAATCATGTTACTGAAACAACAAATAAAGAAATAACTGATCGAATGACGAATACAACACATTATACGTAAACATATTAAAAAACAAGAATCTTTTTTTTTTTTGAGTTGATATTTTTATTATTTCTAGAGGCACACACAAAGAACGTTTTGATGAAGAAGGCTATGGAAAAGGCAAAGAAGGTCGTTTAGATGAAATTGAATCAACAGGCTATGTACAAGGCTTCAAAGGTACTAATCAATCATCATCATTAACAAAAAAATGAATAAATAAAAAAAAAAAAAAAGAAATGTTTTTTTCTTTGAATATTTGTATATATAATAAAATTTGTAATTGAAAACTAGCAAAGTGTTGTTTCACTTATTTTTGATTTAATACTTGTATTGGATGTACCACGAGATATGAATTGATTTGATTTTTTTCGTTTGTTATCAAAATCTAAAAGTAAATCTTTATAACCATCGGCATCAACAGGCATCATTGAAACTCTTCGTATTGGCTGTTGTGCTCTTGTTAATGGTCGTTTATGATGAAATATTTCTAAATCTTCATAATCAATAAATGATGGTCGAGAACGAAGTTCAGATAATTCAGAACGACAAATTGGTTTACGATTACCAGTTAATCGTTGTGGAATTGATGATGGTGTTGGATATTCATTAGTTACAAATTGTGGTGGCGGTGGTGATGATGGACGAGAACCTGTTGAATGTAAATCAGCTGTATTTTGTGTTGAAGTTAAATTAAGATTTTGATTTGATGCTGATAAAGCTTTTGGTCCTGATAAATCAATATCACGTTCCCATGCAAGAGTTTCAAGCATATGATCAAATAGTGCTTTAGGTTTAAGAACAACAGATTGATGAGATACACGACGAAGACGAACATATTCAGCTGTTGTTCCTTGTTCTTTTAATAAATATAGAACAAGTTTTCCTACTCTCTATTTAGAAAATATGTTTTATAAATAAATGAAAAAAAAAAAAAAAAAAAAAAGAAAAGTTTTTTATTTTACTTTCCAATTACTAATTGCTCCTTTTCGTTGAGCTGCTTTACTTTTTGTAACACGTTTAATAACCATTATATCTCGTTTATCATCAGCACCAATAGAATATACACCTTGATAATCAAATCGTTGTTTTGCCGAACAAGATCTTTCAATAGTTAAGACAAGTTGAGCCCACTATCATAGAATAAAAAGAAAACTAAAGTTAAATTAAAAACAATTTTTTAAACCTGTCGAATACGTTCTTTTTCACTAATTGTAATTATACGTTGATATGTATTACCCATGGAAGCAATTAACATATTTAATAAAAGTATAGGTGTTAAAATCATAAAAACAATAAATAAACTTTTAACTAAATATGAATAATGTGTTAAATCAAAACGAGAAAACTAATAATAGAAACAAACAATTAAAATCAAAAATTTTCTTATAAAAATTTATATATACATCAAATTCTCCCATTGTAAAATGGACCATTGTCATCCAAGCTTCAAAATCTTTAAATGAACACATATTATCAACTCCACATGTATCATTAGGTGCAAAACGTTCACAATAACCACCTTCAGTTGTATCTCGAAAGAGTAGATAGAAAACTAAAAAGAAAATGAAATCATTGGACCTTTTCTATCTTTTCTTCCCAAAAATATTTGCCAATTTAATTAGATAATCAGTCTCAAATCGTAGAAGTTATATCTTAATGTATTATTTGATGGTACTTGACCTTCAGTTTTCATCCTGTAACATATGCTAGACGAAGGTTAATTTTTCTCTTTCTTCTATCAGTATTGTATAAAATTCAATGATACTTTTTGTGTGACAATTAAAGAGATATGTCTTTGATGGAAGTTGAATGAAAATAACGACATATTAATGATCATTTTCGGAATAGAAAAAAAAACATTTATTATTGATTAGCATTATTTCATGTCTCACTGAGAGCTATTTAAAGAATAGATCTCTACGTTAAATTGCCATACGCATATATATTGGATCTATGTTCAAATATCATTCAGAAAAAAAACACAAGTTCTTCTTCTCAAGTCAGTCAAGTCAAGAGTCGTAGAATATCAAAAAAAACTCTTGTCCCATCTATTCCCTAGAATGCATATATTGATATATCGAACTGACTCATTCATCATGGATACTAGAAAAAAACTAAATCATTTTTTTTTTTAAATTTCTATACCTTGACCAAAAGCTGTTATAACAATAACATAAATAACACCAAATGTTGCAATATCTCCTGTAATCATTTCAAATATCATAACAATAAATGCACCAGTTAAGGCATAAATTCTTCCAAAAAAAAGAAAATATAAAAATGTTCCAGGCACAGCAAGTGATACAAGGCCATCTTCAACATAACCAAATGTAATATTTTTTGTTGCTAAATAAAGTATACGAAATGGTACAGCTAAAACAATAAGAAGACATGAACATTGATAAAGTAATTTTTCTGGATAACTTTTCTAAAAAAAAAAAAAAGAAATATAATTTAAACAAAAATGAAATAGAACTATTTGAATTTTATTTACTAAATTTTGTAAATAAGAATTAAAACCTTGTAAATAAATTTCTTTTGCTAATAATGCAAATATACTGATAATACAACCACCTAATACACATACTTCAGCAATATGACAAAAAATTCTGTTAACTAATGATTGATCATCTTTTGGATTACGTAAAAATATTGCTGTACTTAAAAAAAATAAATGTGTACAAAGTAATATTAATTGTCGAACAAAATGAACCTTAAATTAAAAAAAATAAAATAAAATATTTTATTGAAATGCATTTTTTTTTTTTTTGTTCTTCTATTTAATTTACTCGAGCAAATGTTGACCATTTATCATTTAATAAACGTTCAATAAGCATATTATCAAGCATATCTAAATGATTTTCAGTTTTACCACTAACGATTGACATTAATGAAGAATTCCAATCTTGAATACAGATGAAAAATAAAAGAATATTTAAAACAAAAGAAAAAAAAAATCAACAAACCTATACGTCCACCGTCTGCTATTGTATCAATACCACGTAGTGGATATGTACAACATTTTATATTTGAATAACGCCAAATTTCCTTTTATAAAATAAAATATTTATCATAAATTTGATTAATTGTCTCTAACTTCTAGATAACTATATTAGAAAAACTACAAGGCAAAGTTGAATAGAATAAAGAATACGTGGCAATTTTTATATGAAACAAAGGAGAAAAAAGCATTGTCTTTCTAACCGAACGCAAGGGAAATGTTCAGCTTCGCTGGAGGAAATGAAACATTTTTCATAATGAAGTGAAGAGTAGTATTTCTTTTTCATGCTTTCTATTTTAGTTCATTTTGCTTGCAGTTATATTGTACAATTATAAATTACTTAAATTTCAACTCTGATAAACTCTATAATCAACTTACGTATAAATTATTCAACGGTGATTCGTGTAAAATTAAAATTAGAAATATGACGTTAATTGCTTATGTGTTTTATAAAAGAAAACTTTGACAGCCTGTCGATCAAATCAATAATTACTAATCTCAGCTCACAAAGAATTACCGGAGTTTTTGCACGAGAAATTTCCGGTCCGATTTAAATAAAATTTAACAATCCCTATACAAAGCCGTATTTCTTTAATTAGTTACTATATCTTGTCGTGCTAAGCAGTGTGTTTTTTTATTAAGACGTACTGCGCAGCAAGATAAAGTAGTGCTGAGAGTGTAAGTCTTCTGTCCATCCACAGTCTCAATCATATATCGTCGTGCACCTACCTACACCTCAAAATTATGATATCTTATTGAGCCGAGGTTATTGAGGTCATTTTAAGTTCGAGCTGAAAACTTCTTGGGATTGAAATTCCGGCCTACTATTACGAACTATCACAATTCAATATTCTCTAGACTTCAATCATGTCTCACAATATTTTCAAGATAAACTTTAGTTTGTTTAACTATCTGTCACGATCTGTAATAATAACAAATTTCCTCCTGTGTGTAAATAAATCATTTAATTTTTAGAAATTAAATGAATGATAATATATAATTTAAAATAAAAAATTATCAAATATTTTAATATTTTACCACATGAGATAATTCCAAACATTGAAGAAAAAGTTCTTTTCGACCAAGTTTAGCAGCTAATGTTAATGATGTTAATCCTTCATTATTACGAATATCTGTAAGTGCTTTTTTTACTGGATGTCGAATAGCATGATTAAACATTTCCTTAAAAAAACAAAAATGAATTGTATTTTAAAATTCAATTCATTATTTCATATATTCATAGTTTTACTGATCGATCTCGAATGACAAGCATATGTAAAACCGTATTTCCATATGTATCTTGCATATTTGGATCAGCACCATTATCAATTAAATAATCATAAATTTCTGTATAACCAAATGCAGCAGCAAATGCTAATGGATATTCACCATAATAAGCATTAGCTTAAATATAATATTCAACAAGAAATAAATTTTTTTTTCTTTTAAATGAAAGAATTTTTATATATATATATATATATACTTTCAGGATTTGCATTTTTGAGACTAATTTGTTTTGTTGTTGTTTCTCTTTGATGAAAAAATCGACTAGTTGCATTTTGTCGACCTGTTTTTGTTTCTTGTTTATTTCGATTTTGTCCAGGAAGATAAAAATCTCCAATAACACGTTGATTAACATCAAAACCATGTTTAATTAAAAGTTTAACTGAACTAATATCATTATAAAAAATAGCAATATGAAGAGGAGTTTCTCCTAAAATAAATTCAATTAAAAAAAAATTTTTATTTTATTCTAATTTTAATAGTAACTAACCGATGACAGTTAATCGACGAACATTATTTGGTTTAATATTAGGACCAGATAGATTCAAACCTTTGCTGTTCAATTCCTTATGACTATTTGTTAAATTTCTATCAGAATGACCTGAATAAGATAATCGATGAAAATCTTGACTATTTATTGCAATTGGTCGTCCAAAAACATCAAGAAGAGCAGTATTTGGAATTTTTATGGCCTTCATATATATATATAAAAAAAAAGGAAATAGCGATCAACAATAATAAAAATGATTACCATGTGTTTTTTTCCGAAGTATTTTCTCGTTTAACTACAATCAGTAGCTAGTCATGAACAATATATTGAGAAATTGACGAGTGAAGAAAATTTTTTCTTTTTTTTTTTTTTTTCTTCTTTGCTCTTATTCAATTATAAAGAGTTTTCTTGCATTCATTTTTACCGTTTTCTTTATTCTCGATGATACGTGAAAACTTCATCAAGGAAAAAAGAAAGACAAAACTCGTACGGACTATTTTTTTCTCTCGTTTACTTAAAGTTAGTACACCGATAAAAATGTAAAAATAAATTCAAATCAGTGCATGTTTTTTTTTTTCTTTCTCTCTTCTTGGTTGCCAATTTTACATTTAGTGCTTTCTTATTCTTGACATCTTGTATACGTAAATTAACTTTAATCGTAACGACCAAGATTGCTATTACTCTTATTACTAGAAAATAAAAAGAAGAAAACGTTATTTCTGTTTTTTTTTATTCTTCGGGTTCAATCATGGAATTGTTACTAAGAGATGTAAAGAAAAATATAAGCTTGCAATGAATATATCTATCGATATGAGAAAACATATTAAGGCAAAAAACAAAGTATTTAGAATAATTCATCTTAATAAAAGTATCTTGAACAATAGATAGAATTACAAATGTTCAATACGTACGATTATAAACATTAATAGTGAATAATTATCGAAATCATTTATTAAAGTAATGGAAAATGATCATAAAATTGATACCTATTCAAAATCCAAGAGTAATTAGAATAATTGAAAGTTTTTATCGTCTTAAATAGTGCTTGATAAATGTTCTTTATTCAATACTGTTCATATTTCTATTTCATATTAAAAAAAGGATATTCTAGTTTATACTGTCAAGTAACTAAAAATCGAATGAATTAAATGTTTTAGCTACTTCTTCTCCCTTCAAAATTGATTTTGAAGCAGAAAAATTCAAATTACATGAAACTATGTGAATCTTCATTTTTATATTTCTTTTGTATCAAAGAGCATGTCAGATTGTAGATCTTGACAGAATCCTTTTTTTTTCTAAATTCTTACTTTTTTGTTGGAAGATAAGGATAATAAGTTGAGTACTGCAAAAAACTCAAAAAATTTGTATTGTTTTTTAGCCAGTCATTGAGATTTATTTTCGGTATTAGATTTGTTATTCGTAGCCTCCAATCAAAAAGTAAAAATTTTAAAAAACAAAATTTCAGGTTATCAAATAAACTATTTTCAACGTTTGTTTGATGAATATCTCATGAAAACATTGTAGTATCAAGCTGAAAATTTCATGTGATTTGATTGCTACTGACCCAAGATTGATTTTGAAGTGAATTTTCATGATTTAAAAATTCTATCTATATTATTTAATATATGTTTCTGCTTGTTGATCACTAATGATATCAGATTCAAAAGAAAGATTATAGCAGTATCACAACTGATGATTATTTCTATGAATGTGTTTTTTTTTATCATAGTAATAATTGTCAGTAATGAGATAACAAGTTTCATTTACCATGTCCTTAATTATTGCTTTAAAAAGTTTGTTATGATCATAAAAATTGACAATCAAACACATTTTTTCATTTATATGAAGTCAATATAACAGATTTATGTCGATCATAAATCTTTTACACTTGAATTTTAAGGGTCAGAAGTAAGAGCAAAAATATTTCAATAGATGTCACCGAGCACTTTTACCCAGTTCCTATGCCCGTAGATGCTAACATTTAGGATTTACGAAAATAATTTAAATCCATCATGATAATTTTACATCAATGATTGCGTCTTTTCAATTATGTGAATTTTTCTAAAATATATTCAACTATTAATCTATAATCAAACTCTTTTTCACTTCTATACAAATGTTAGGTTAAGAAATGAACAATATTATGTAGCAGTAAAATATTCCAAATTGACGAGTATCAATTATACTTTTATATTACCCAATCTGATGGTTATATGGCTATAGATTTCAAAACACTTATTATACATTTGATAATATATATGTTCGAATTCAATGAAATAGTCAATCATTTATAAATTTTATTTTATATCAATTAATTTTCTATTTATATCGATTTCATTTATTCAAAAAAAAACGACATCTAATTCTATCAAAATTTACTTGTCTATGTATTAACATAGTTATAACATAAACAAATCCAGCTAAAAATAATCCAACAAACCAAGCATAAATATAGATATGATCAAAAAAATTTTTTTCTCGATTTTGATTCAATTGTAAACTTCTTAAAAATCCTGACATATTTGGTGCAATTCCAATTACAAGTGCTAATATAGAAATCCAATTCATAGCTCGATTTGTATATAATGGATAAGTATCATAATATAATTGAGAAATTTCTAATTTTTGTCTTCGTAATAAATAATAATCTCCAATAATTATACCAGTAATAGGACCTAATAACGCTGAATAACCAATTAACCATGTAAAAATATATTCTTCTGAACTTGATAATAATTTCCAAGGCATAATAATAACAGATAAAATACAAGTTATTAAACCACCAGTTTTAAATGATATATATCGTGGTGATAAATTAGCAAAATCATTTGCTGGTGAAACAATATTTGCTGCTATATTTACTGAAACAGTTGCTATTAATACACCTAATAATGAAATAATAGCTATGATTATACGTATTGGTGTTGAAAAAAAAGCATGAGAAGGAGAAGTTATAACTGAAAGTAAATAAACAGGATCCCATAAATTTCCTGTTACATCCTTAAGTACATCTTGTGCTGTACTTGTTATAATAACAGCCATAGTACTAAATATGAGCATAGTCAAAGGTAATCCAAGTGATTGACCAAGCATTTGATCATGTTGACTTCGACTAAATCGTGTAAAATCTGGAATATTTAATGCAAGAGTTGACCAAAAACCAATTGTACCTTCAACCAAAAAAAACAAAATAATAATTTTTTTTATTAACAAAAAAAAAAAAAATCTTACTTGTCAATGAAGGTATAAATATCATCCAAAATTCATGAAATGTTTGAAATTTTGAAGGTTTATATAACATAGAACCTAAACCTTTAGCTTTTACAACCAACCAAACAAGAAGAACAGTAGTCATAATAAGTACAATTGGTGCTGCCCAATTTGCGAATTTCTTAACAGCTTCCATACCATAACAGATAATTATAATATGTATTGATAAACATAAACCAAATGTTAACCAACTTGAAATAGATAAACTAAGAAATGTCCAATTATGTCCAAGATGTTCATAATCAGGCCAAACAGCTATAACAAATGTTTTAAGAGCTTCACCACCTAAAAATACATTGATACCAAGCCACTACAATACGAAAAAATATTTCATTTTTTTTTTTTGTTTTTAATAATATTCATCTTTCAAAACTCTTACTCCACACGCAACAAGTCCTCGAAGGATAGCTGGTATATTAGCACCCCATGTACCAAATGCTGATCGAGCTAAAACAGGAAATGGAATTCCATATTTTGTTCCTGGTTGAGCCATAAGTAAAATTGGAATAAGTATAATTAAATTTCCAATACCAATTGTAATTAATGCTTGAAACCAATTCATACCAGATGTAATTAAACTTCCACATAAAGCATAAGTTGGTAAACAATGACACATTGAAATCCATAATGCAGCATAATTCCATGTTGTCCATGTCCGTTGGGATAATGAAGTCGGTGCAAGATTTGCACTATAAAGTTGACTGTTGACTAATTCATTAGGAAGAGTAGAAGATGAATTTTTATTTGGAATAGAAAAGTGTACCATCTCCATTTTATTTTTAATATGAAATGCAACGGCATTTTTCTTAATGTCTTTTTTTTCTTTCTTATCATTCTCATTTGAACGAATTAAAAAAACTATCATTTTATCTTGTTCTTTCTATCATAAAATATAATCATCCCATTAAGGGTATGAATATGTCATCAACTATTTATGTATCGACATACAGAGAACAAAGTTGTGAGCAACCTTTCAATTAATAAAAAGAAACATGTGTTTTCTTTTTTTTTTCTTTCTTTTTGTTTCTATAGTTTTATGCGAGATAAGCATAGTTCTATCGAGGTATATATAGAATAGAGGATTATATGGCACACCATTTTGATTATCTGATCCTGTTCTGTTCTATGAACTTTTTCCTGTACCTAGCTTTGCTCTAAAAGTTTATGTCATAACCTTTAACCTGCATTGCACTACCCTAAGCTGTTTTGCCACTTGACAAAGATCCAAACTTTCAAATCATTTTTTCGTGCAATTTCATTCAATTTGTTTCAATCATAATGCAAACAAAAACAACGCTACATTTCTCGAAAAATTTCACATCATCAACAATATCTGAATTTAATCATTAAGAGATTATTTATAAAGATCATCCGAAACTTATCTAACCTGAAATGTGTCGTTTGTAGAAGAATCTTTTCATTTTTTTATGGTGTTGTACACTTTCATCACTCGCTCCTCCTTAAAATTCATAAATATCAATTATGCATGTCTTTCAACGACCTTGCTAATAAAATAAGTTGTGAAAATACTAACAACTGCTTGTCCAATCATCATAACAACGTATCATCTCTTGAAAATGAAAGTTTGGTGTTAATATAACGATCGATTTCATCAGAATTATAATCACAATTCTGCTCCATATCTCTCATAAGTTCTTGAATAACATTATTTTGCATGACTCAATCGTTTTTCTTTTCTTTTTGGTACCTTATTGGAGATGTTAAAGTGTGTTGTAGATATTATAGATGACTGTTCTTGTTGAGTATCAATTGTTACAATTATTTTTCGAAGAATAAAATAAAGCTCAAAAATTAGAAAACCTCATTCCAAAGATGATATTATATGTTTTTATTGAAAGGAGCTTGTCATTCTGTGAAGAGTCAAAACATCGCATATTTTGAAAAAGTTATGGCTCGACGAGAGAAAATCGATCAAGATATAAATAGACTGTTAAGATGACTATTCTTTACATGCAACCCGTCAGAATTTTAAAAAAGTTATTTTGTATAATGCTAGTTAGTCTTTTAAAAATATTTTCGATGGCATGCCTTTCGGTTCTCCATCGACTACAATCATAATAAAAATGATTACTTTTGTCTTATATTTTGCGTCAATGTTTACCAAAGTGAAATGAGCATACGGCCCGTTCTTTTTTCTTCTCGTCAAAAAGTAAGTGACACAGTTACATCACATAGTAGGAAAAAACCCACATTGAATTTGTTTTGTAAGAGTTACATTTGTGTTACTATTGAGCGGAAGAAAGAGAGAAAGCAACAGGAAAAAAAACAAGGTTCGTAACCATTACAAATATTGACTACATTTTAGCATCAAAGCTGCATCAGATAATAGAAATTGAAAGAAAAGTTTATTAGTTTCATGTAGACACTTTCATGTGCCAGATTTTCACATGGATCAATAGTATATTTTTTATCTTCACGACTCAATTTTCTTCTTGGTATGATTCATTGACGACGCAATATTGTATTTTTTTTCCAAACTATAATGACGGAAAATCGGAGAACTCACAGATCAATCGCAATTAGACACACTTTAATAATTTTAAAACTCATCAAACTGAGTTTTATCTCATAGAATTCATTAGCTATTCGCAAACCTAATATGTAGAAGTAAATCGATGATGAATTATGATTATTCAAAAGGATTATGGAGCAATAAATCATCGATTTTCTCAATTTTTCGGCTGAAGTAATCTTTTTTCTAGCTCAGTAACGAGTGAGTTTGGATTTAGCAACATTTTTACTCTTACTGTTTTTCTCCAGACGAAGATGATCAAATTTGAAGATTTAATCCACTTCAGCAATATCTGTTCAAAATGCTATATGAGAAAGAAATTATCTGAAAATCGGTATGCGCAATCCACCATTTGTCTCTTATATGTTGCTGCAAAGTTCTAAGTATATAAGTTACGAAATTGTGTTTTTGTTTTAACGCTTGTAGCATTATTGTTAACGTGCCCATAAATACATGCTTTTTCTCATTCCTTATGGTCTCTCCATTCCAAGACACGAATACTCATACAGTTTGTATCGAACTAAAGTAAAGAAAAAAAAAATTTTTTTATATCTACATTTTTTGACTCAAAGAAGATAATGAAGGAAGAGAAGTGAGCTGTGTTTCAGAGTTAGTAACAGTCGTCTTTTTTGCGAAGGAAATATTTAGCTATATGAAACTATCCATTTGAAATCGTTTTCCTTTATTCTAAAGAACAAGGAGCTTTTTATTATTTATAGAAATTATGGCAGTTGAGCTTTACAGCAAAGTTATTGCACGACAAGTTGCCACTGCTTTATATCCTCTTCTTGCCAACGTTGGAACATATGTGCTCAAAAACCTAATTCAAGCTGTAGTGAATATTGCAATACGACGTCCTGTAAACATTACTGATCTTCAAATCGACAAATCAATATTCCGCGATTTATCAGTATTGAAAAGCGACAGTAAAGATCGATGGAATCATGTATTTACCAATAAATATGGTCATGTGAAACCCCAAACAGACGAAGAAAGAGGGGTGGTAGCATTGGCATTGGAAATGGTACGGAAACTTGGTGAACGTGTTCCTGTTTTGAGCAAGGCTGCTGAACCTTTCAAACGGAAATTTGAGCTCTATTTCAAAGATTCAAACGTAAGAATGTGGGTACGAGAATGTCGCCAAGGAGGTTCAGATAACTATTATATCGAAAGTGGTGGAATGTACATCGATTGCAAAGCAGATCCAAATGAACTTGATACTGGTGGTGAACTTTTGAAAATACTCTAACTATTTGACAAGTGTGCTGCGAATACAATGAACATTTTTAACAAACAATTTCCATCAATTCATGACTAACACATTTCTATTAATTGTTTTTATTGCTTTTAATAACCAAGAATTTATGAAATTTTTCTGCTTCTTTCATAGAGACATTAGCATTCTTAAAGAAAGAAAAGAAAAATTTTGTATACTGACAGGATGCCACTGGTTTCTCGGTACATTTTATTTGAGGTTTTTATAATAAATTTAAACTAGCAAATGTTGATATCAGTGAATTAAATAGTTTACGATCAACATATGATTATGTTATTAATGAATCATATAATGTTCAGTCTCAATCAAATTGTTTTGGTCATTCATATGATTATTTCAATAAATTAAATGTTGATGTCAGTTAAATGAATAATCTACCCTCAACGTGTATTGATGATAGTGATAAATCATTTACTGATAGTGTTCAATCAAATAGTTTTCATCGTTGATTTGATAGTTTATTATTGATACTAGACTTTGACATTGATAAACATTCAAAAATGAAATTCAGATACTTTTACAAGATAGAGAAGAACTTATTTGGCTTACGATTACGAATTTGAATTAGTCAGATGCGAATTACTTTTGTTTGATTTTTAAGATGTTTTAGACACTTTTTCATTACAATCTAGAAATACATTGATGTATGTTTAAAACAAGAGAAAGCATATGTATGAAATTTTCCTATGTCCGTACGACTCAAAAAAAGCCCACTACGTATCTTCGAATATGAAGAAAACGTGTATTTATGGATATCAGAGTAACCTTCGAATGTTTTTTATAAAAACTTTGATCTGCAAGTTAAGTATTAGCTCCTCTCTTGGTATAACTAACTTCCAATTGTTATAGTAAAAACCCAAATAGAAAAGCAACATCTAGGATCATAATTGGTTGTTACTTAGATTCCACAAGTATTCTAATCAGAAGTGCGCATTGTAACTCTGAGGAAGGTGTCATATCACGTTATATGAACAGTCACTCTTAATATTTACAACAGACAAGATTTAAAGACTTAAACGTTATCGTTTAATGTGGCATTGACTGATTTCCGTAAATAGAAAATGATAAAAAATACAAATCAGTAGAAGTAAACTGATAGATACTAGAAGCAATAGTCCTCTTCGTCTTTGAAAAGTGTTACATAATCGATTTCAAGAGTTATTCGGTCAATATTTCTCTACTATACCAGATACTCAAAAAAATTATTTTGATGACGTCGCAGCAGTTAAGAGTCATGGAAAGATGACGAGTTATGTCATAGAGAAGAAAAAGTCCAAGAAAACCAGAAAAAGTGATGACAGTTGTCAAGTGGTTTCAATTGTTCATATGGCATTTCTAATTAATCAAATTCTGCTTTTACTCAATCAAATAGTTTATAATCTACATATAATGATGTTATTTATTAATCAAATGCTGATGATACTCAATTAATAAGCTTACGATCTTCATTCGATGATGTTCTAAATCAACAAATGACTGCAGATACTGATGACATTGAACCAGTTGAGCTGAAATTATTGACGCATCATTAATTTGTTTTAAATTTATCTAGTATGAAATATTTTAATAAGAGTCCAAAAGTTGACATGATCTTTTATTATTAACAGTAATAAAAAACATGAATGATTTCGTTATTTATTTTAGTTTTCCATTCATGTTTTGATTTAAAATGTTTTCATATATTCATTGTTTAATATGGTTTAATCAATATGTTGGTTTTTTACATAATTTATCGGATTTTACATATTATTTTTGTATAGTCTTGATTATTAATAATATTGATATTGTCAATCGATATACTTTCATTTATTATATGAAATCATTTGAAAATATCATTAATTATTGATACCATTATGTTTTGTCTGTTTTTCAATTACAAGATTGTTCCAATGAACTATTTTATTTGAGAGAGAAAAGTCACTTTATTTCTTATGATCCAATAAGATAATAAATATTACTTAAAATACAGATTTACATAGTTCTTTCATGATTCTCTGATAATTTTCATCAGAGAAAAATATCCCTTTCATTTTCATGATTGGTTATAACTAGTTTTTCAAATAATTAGATCGAAGTAAAAACATATCAAACTGGTATGCACATATATGTGTAAGTATATTTTTCAAATAGCTTATAATTATGGCAAACTAATTCACTTTAGCTAACACAAGAAATACTCCTATTATAAGAAGTGCCCATAGGATGACATTTTTGCACCCTGCTCTGCAAAATTTATTAATCGCCTTGATTGTTTTTTTTTCTAGGTGAGTTCAAAGGAGAGCGAGATAGTTGTACTTGTACAGAGAATATCATCTTTATATTTATATTCGGTTCAAATATAGATTACAAAGTTCGTTTTATGGAAAAAAAAAACATAAATTATAAAAGAAAAGGAAAAATGTAGATAACATAATATGCATATGTTGAGTATAAAACTTGATAGCATGAGTAGTAGAAATATTGGAAAGAGAAAACACCAATATCAACTACTTTCGTCATAAATGATGTGTGAAGTCGTTTAAAAAGATAACTTTTGCAATTTGATGTGCATATGGATCTGATCGAGAGAAAAACTCATACTAACATTCATACTCCACATTCAACATGTCTAAATCAACGATGAAAACAGCCTGCATTTCTGACGACCGAACTGATATCAGAACGGACACTGTACTAACATATCCTCGATGAAATACTGGGAAGACCAAATAATAATTTTGAGTAAGTTTATATAATTAGAACACGAAAGTCAAAAAGATAGACTGATAGACTGACCAAGCCGAAATCCGAATCAGTAGTGTTTTCATCGCAAGTCTGCATGACATTTTAAAAACAATATTACGTTTTCATCTTTGTAGAGCATTTAGTTTTCTAATGAAATAGAACTTCAAAAAAAACAAACATTAAAGATCATCTTTGAAAAAGTTACTTTCCACACAAGATACCAGTTTTTCGAAAGACTACATTTTTTATTCATTCAATAAAAAGCATAAATACTCTTTTTCTTCGTTTTATACATACCATTTTAATTCTATCATCAAAAAAAGTTTAGTTTAATACAAATATGTTTATTTATATTTTGTTCAATTTTATACCAAAAACAAAAACCAAGAAAACAATACATTGAAAATAGACAACAACCAAAATGAAAAACCAAAACACATTCACATATCTATACATCCAAATACATATATATACACAAACATACAGGCTCGTCTTCAATTGGAACTCTTATTTCATATTCTTCAACAATCGCATGGATCAAGTTGATACTGTTTAAAGAAAACCCAAAGACATGTACAAAATACACATATAATGATAAATACAAAACGAAAACAAAAAACTACTGTTCTAATTACAAAAAAAAAAAACAACGAAACAAATTTTTTAATTTATTTGCATGGAATAGAAAGAAGTTAACGACTAGCAAATACACATAGATACGAGAATTCTCAATTAAAGAACAAAAAATCACAACACGGAAGCACCCGTTGTTGACTAGAAAGAAAAAAATACCAATAAATAGAGATTAATTTAATTAAATCTTGTCTTTTATTTGATCAGAACTGAAAATAATTGGATAATTATCAATAATTGCTTGAATTAATGGTTTAGCTTTTTGACAAATTTGTTCAGCTGTACGTAAATCATGAAATTGTGGTTGAAATAAATTTGGCCACCATAAAACAGCTAAATTTGATGAATCCATATGAGTTAATGCAGCATGTTGTGAAACACTAAAATAATATTTTTTGTTTTTAAATATTTACAGTGATTGCAAAAAGTCTCGCTACCAAGTAAAATGTACCTAAAGTTTAGTCCTTTACTCTCATAGTTTGACCACAGATAGAACATATTGAATTCAGATTGACCTTCGTGCGGAGAAGCTGGAAGGTCAATACAGGTTTTTTCTTTAGACAAGGATGTCTCAGTATAGAAAACAAATCCCACGAAGTTCGACTCCTTACTCGACAGCTCAGCATTGTCTACTACATCATCAATAAAAATTTTTATTTCAAACGGCTTTAATTTGTCTGATTTATGAAGTATTCTTTGGATAATGTTCACATGAGAGTTGATAAGAATCGTGGAAAAGCGACTGGTATGTTCGGTTAATTTTAATCATTCCAGTGAGTGCCCTACTCTAATCAAATTTTCCTTGGAAATCTCACGATAGTGAATTAAAGTACCTTATCTATGACATAGACATTTGAATCTTTATTTGTTAATAAGAGAATGGAGATTAACGCATTTGAATAGTAGAAAATCAGAAAGATGTCAAAAAAAATTTTTTTAGGCTCTAGGGAAAAATCTAGTGTGTTCAGTGTAAGTCCTTTGCATTAAGACCTATCGACCTCAAATTTCTGCTTGAGATCAGGATTTATCGAGCTCTATTTATAGTCAAAATTTCAATTTCTTGTAGGATGTAAATGTAAAATACGATATAGCTATTATTCATATGTTCACGAGGATAATTCTCAAAGTGCTTATTATGGCCTCTGGAGAAGGAGGAAGTGGGTGCAAATTTCCATCTCATATACTTCATCATTCCTTTTAGATCGTGTTTTGCAAACAATAAACTAAACTTACAAATGAAGATGTTTAAAAATAAATTTATTTGTTCGATATTTAAGATCATTTGTACGTAATAAAGCTTTTTGTATTGGAATAAAATTTTGTTCACGTAATTGATCAACTAAAATATAAATTTGTATAAAAAAATAAATCTTTTTTTTTATTTTTCTCTTATTACTTGTTAATAATTGACATTGATCAAATTGTTCTAATGATAAAATTGGTTCATCTAATTTTCTCATCATATCTTTAAATGCTGTTGCAACAGCACTTGCTGGAACTTCTAATAAATTAAGATCACAATTTGGATCTTCATTAAGTTTATTGATAATTAATTCAACTTGATTTTTAAATCCAGATATTCGATAAAGTCCTTCAACCGTTAAACCATGTTGTTCAATAAATCGAACACATTTTTCAACGAATAATGGTATGCCCGTTTCATTTGATAATACACAACGGCCGAGTTTTAAACGAATTGGAACATGTTGATGAGAATTTTCAAGAGATGAAAATGGAGAAATGATTTGATGTGTTTGAGATGTGAGTGTTGTTAGTGTTGATTTGAATAGAGGAGGAGGAGCACATACTGTTGCTAGAGCAGGAAAACGAGATTTCAATTCATTTTTCTAGAAAAAAAAAAACTCATTGATTTATTCTATTTATTAGACAAGAAGTTAAAATCTTACATCACGTCTAACTTGAGCAAAATATTGTAATTGACGACGAATCCAATTAGCTGTTGGTCGTTCTTCAAGTTCTTCAATGGATGCATTCTTGATTAGGAAAC